TCTGTGTTCTAGGCTGGAATGTCTGCAGTGGAAATGAGTTTCGGTAGCAGAGACGTTTGTGGGGGTGAGGGGGTGAGGTGGGGGTGAGGTGGGGGTGAGGTGGAGCGGGGGGAGTGTATGTGAAGTAAGAAAAAAAAACTGAAGTGAATATGGGATGCAGAAGGAAGGACGACGTGTCAGAGACGGCAGTGCACGTGAGGCGGACGTGCGCGTGCACATGCACGTGTAACAGGGACGACGGTAACAGAGCGTCGGCCGATGAACCGTCGGCCTTTGTTGCTGTGGATGTGACCGACAGCGGTGCGGTCGGACGGAGACGACGGCGAGGCCTCTGTTCTCACCAGACCTCGTCGTTGGTTCAAGGAAAATCAACGTTGTTTTGTTTTAATTTCTGATTTATTTCTGTTCCCAAACTCCAAGGAGGAAAAGTCAGAAACACGTCTTTGTGTCGGAGCCACAGGTCGGTCGCCTGCCTCCATCCGATAACGTTAACGATGTCCATCCATACACTGCATTTCCAATTCCGATATCAATCGATACCGACATCGGCAGTTGTTTTCAGCGCACCCCGGTGGCGTGCTGTCATAATGACAACCATTCACTTTCACTTTCACTTCCAAACTTTTCCAGGTCACATCGTCTGAGGGGAAACCCAAACATCAGAGGAGAAACCAGATAAGAATTCTTACGGATGTGACATCACATATGCTAACATCATAGTAGCTTCTTGTTGACGTAGCAGCCTCCGTCACCTGGTCCAGTACGATGGTACGACCAACCACGGCCTGGTCACCTGAAACTTGAAGGACTTTGTCAAAATGTTGATGATGAACCTGTTCACTGAGGTGTGTGTGTGTGTGTGTGTGTGTGTGAGAGGTGGGGTCTTAAAGGTACAGTCAGTGATGACCACATGGTCAGTACTGACTGAGCGGTCACTGAAGTACAGTGTGTATTCTCACACACACACGTCCAGTCCTGGAGTGTAACCGACAACCTCTGACCTCTGCACCCACACAGTGTGTGTGTGTGTGTGTGTGTGTGTTGATCACTGTCCAGTATCTGTGTCTTCATGAAGACCTGCTAAGGTGAATATTATGGTCTGTCACCAGTTGTGGACTTGAGCTCCCCTGGAGACCATGTGACTGGATTCTCTTTCTTGTCTTTTTAGGAGTTGCATATTATGGGATGTATGCTGCTATTGCTTGAGTATTATGGTCTGTCGGTGGGAGCGGCGGGGAGGGGGGGTCACCATGACAACGGAGTTGCTAAGGGGGCTGGGCGTGTTGGTGGAGTGGAGCAGGCGTGTGCGTGTAATCAGTCTGCTGCATGCATGTGCGGCACTGGCGGCATGCGTGCGCACGTGTGCGAGCGCGCGTGCACGGCGGAGGAAGGTGGGGGCAGGCTTAGTATTATGGTCTGTCCGTTGCGAGGTAACTATGCAGAGTCCTGAGTGAGTGTGGGAGGGGGGGTTATTATGGGATGTCTGCCCCCTTTGTGTGTTTGTGAGGATGTTAGCTAAGCTCTGTCACAGAGGTTGGGGGAGAGAGTGACAGGGGGAGAGAAAAAAAACGTGTTCCGTGTCATAGCGATATTTTTTAAAAACATTTTTGTAACTGAGCGGATCATTGGTCCGGAGCAGGTTCAATGATCGGACACTACATTAAAAAAAAACAACAACTGCCGGACTGACAGCCTGACCTGCCCTCGTTCTTAGACCGGGGAAGGGCGAGCACACACACACACCGACACACACACACTACAGTAAGTTTTTGACGTGTCAAGGTAGGAGATCAACTTTTACCTGTTTACTGCTTTAACTTGACGGTAATGTTTGTTTGGCTCGGTGTCAGTGAGAGGCGGATTCACAGAGAAAATACCTGCGTGAATACAGTTATTAACTTGTTTGACTTCAGACTTGGGGCGAATTAACGTTAGTTTTCCGTATTTAACAAAAATAAAAATAAAGATGTAAGGATGAGACAGGAAGACTGGTGTTCATTTATTAATATTTATTTATTTATTTCACTCCCCCCCACACACACACACCACAGCAGGCGCCCCCTCCCTTCCTGGACACCCCCGGCCCCTTCTCCGACGCGCCCCCGCCACTTTCCCTCCCCCCCCACACACACACACCACAGCAGGCGCCCCCTCCCTTCCTGGACACCCCCGGCCCCTTCTCCGACGCGCCCCCGCCACTTTCCCTCCCCCCCCACACACACACACAACAGCAGGCGCCCCCTCCCTTCCTGGACACCCCCGGCCCCTTCTCCGACGCGCCCCCGCCACTTTCCCTCCCCCCCCACACACACACAACAGCAGGCGCCCCCTCCCTTCCGCAGGCGCCCCCTCCCTTCCTGGACACCCCCGGTCCGTTCTCCGACGGTCCCACGTCATTTTCCCTCCACCCTCGCTGACCGAGGAGCGAGGTTTACGAGGGATTAATTCGTCCAACAAGAAATTAAAGCCAAACGCTGGGAACATGTCGGGCAGCGAGGATGACAGGGAGGACTTCGGAGCCCTGGACGAGCGCACACTTCTCCGCGGTAAGCTGCCTTTCTTTTCCCCCTTGGCAGAAGCAGCTTCATCTCCCGGTGACTGGAGCTCGCCTTCGCGGCGAGGCTAGCGTTAGCCGCTGCTAGCCGGGAGTCGTCTGCTCGGCCCGTCCGTCACTCAGGACAGACGAGTTCGTGAACTTGGCCCGCGGCTGTTTACACTCGTGTCTTAACTCTTTAGCCCCGCGAGAGGCTCAGGTGTGTCGGTGTGGGGACGGACGTCAGCTGTCAAAGTTTCAAAGACAACTTTTAACCTGTTCTCTGCTACCTTTCTGTGTGTGCGTGCGTGCGAGTCGGTGCGTGTGCGCGCGCACATGTTCACGCGTGTGTGGGTGTGCGCGAACATGCGCCGAGCTGTGCCTGTGCGCGGTCCCCGCACTCCCCTGCAGCAGTGTAACCACAGCCTGTGTCTGACAGCAGATGAGGACGAGCCGGAGGAGGAGGAGGATGCTGCTGCTGCTGCTGCTGCTGCTGACGCCGCCGCCGCTGCTGCTGGCTGTCTGACGTAGACGAGGTTCCCAAGTCCAAGAAGAAGAAGAAAGCAAAGAAGAGCAGCCGAGGGGAGAGCAGGAGCAGCAAGAGGCAAAGGCCCATCAGAGAGGTCAGTCCTCCCCCCACGACCCCCCCACAACAACAACAACAACTACAGTAAAGTCCGAAATCTAGAACAGAACGGACTTTAGTTTGATTAGTTTTATTCCGTTCATTCTGAACAGTCGTATCAGAAAAAATAAACAAGGAAGTGAAACAAAAATAACTGAATTAGATGCAAATAATCGTGTCTATATGCAAAAGAGGATTTTTTTTGTTTTTAGAAGACGTTGAATGACAGAAATGAAGATAATTTTTTTATTTAATATTTTTTTATTTTCCATCTAATATGACGACTGTTATTGTGTAGTGGCTCCATTCAAATCAATATAGTATCAAACTAGTAAACAGACAACAAACAACATTTTTATATTCAGTAAAAAAAATGAGTAAGAGAATGTAAACAACTGCCCAAATATATATATATAAATATATTTATTATATACTGAATATATTTTGATATTAGGATATATATAAATATATATACTGTATATAATCCTAAAAATAATATGAAGAATTAATTAGAAATAAGGTAATTTTCTGTGATGGACACAAACAGAGTCAATAACGTTCCTCCTCCAGGAGCTTCCTGTCAGCTCTCCCGAGCACCTGATTGGCTTAGGAGGAGCCGACAGAGATGCCGAAGTTGGAGGTATGCGGTCGGATAGTGAAGGCAGCGATTATGCCCCTGGGAAGAAAAAGAAGAAGCGCTACAGCTCGGCCAAGGAGAGGAAAAAAGGAGGTGCTGGAGAGAAAGGAGGCTCGTCCGGTTCAAAGAGCAAACGCAAAGACCCCGAACCAGATGACGACGACGACGACAACGATGACTGCCAGGTAAGGATGGAATCATCCGACTGGTCAGAGTGACCTGCCGTGGTTGATGTTCTCTGATGTTCTCCTCCTGCCTCAGCCTAAAAGCTCCTCTCAGCTCCTGGAGGCCTGGGGCATGAAGGACATCGACCACGTCTTCACTCAGGACGACTACGGCGCCCTCACCAACTACAAGGCCTTCAGCCAGTTTGTCAGGTAAGAACATTAAAGTCGTATTAACATGGACCTTCATTAATCTTTTCATTGTTCTGATGCCCATCAGTCCAGAAGCTTCACGTGTTATTCAAAGCAGGCGTTAAAAGTATTTTCTATCATCACTTTTTGATTTTGTATTTTTTTAACGAGTCATTTTCCTTTGAATTTCTTTTTCCCTCCAGGCCTCTCATCGCAGCCAAGAACCCCAAAATCGCGGTGTCCAAGATGATGACTCTGATGATGGCCAAGTGGAGAGAGTTCAGCACAAACAACCCACTCAAGGTGTGAGCGTCTCGACCCTGCAGCTGGACGAGAGTCTGGTGACTACAGACCAAGAGTCACAGACTGTCGTCTCCTGTGTTTGACCGATGCTCTCTCTCTCTCTCTCTGTCTCCCCCGCCCCCTCCCTTCCTCCCCCCCTGCAGGGCTGCGCCTCTGCCAACGCAGCTCTGGCAGCTGCCAACGTGGCTGCAGCTGTGGAGAACATGGTGGTGCCCGGGACAGATGGAGGGACAGAGACGGGCACCTCCCCCTCACCCACACCTGCTCCCACTCCTCTGGCTGCTGCTGCTCCCACACCTGCTGCTCCACCAGCACCACCGCTCCGCAAGGCCAAGACCAAAGAGGGCAAAGGTCACCGGAAAAACCTTTTTACTAATGACTTCTAGTCAGTGTTGGCCGCTGGGTCGTTATACTAGTTTTACTAGTTGTACTAGTAGCTGAACTGTAGTCTTGGTGTTTTCACAGGTCCCAACGCTCGTAAGAAATCCAAGTCAGCATCCAAATCTGCTCCGAAACCCAAGCCTAAAAAAGTGGCTCCGCTCAAGATCAAACTGGGGGGGCTGAACAGCAAGAGGAAACGCTCCTCTGTAAGATACTGACCTTGGTCCACTTATCACCTGGACTTTTTGTCATATTGATCTGTGTGAACGTGGCTGTTTTCTCAGTGCTAACGTCGTCTTTCACTCTCTGTCAGAGCGACGAAGATGAACCCGAGGTCGACAGCGACTTTGACGACGGGAGTTTCTCCGTGTCCGACGGCTCCAATCGCAGCAGCCGTCCTAAGAAGAAGCCGAAGAGCGCCAAGAAAAAGAAGAAAGGTTTGTCCGCTGAGATAAAGTGTTCCTGCTTGTGTTGACCCCACGTCTCCCCTCTGGACTGACGCTCGTTCAAACGTCTGCTCACAGTGGAGACCGAAGACGGCGATGGATACGAGACGGACCACCAGGACTACTGTGAGGTCTGCCAGCAGGGGGGGGAGATCATTCTGTGCGACACCTGTCCCAGAGCTTATCACATGGTCTGTCTGGACCCTGACATGGAGAAGGCACCTGAGGGCAAGTGGAGCTGCCCCCACTGTGTGAGTACTGTAATCTCACCCCCGGTCACCTGAGACTGGACGCCGTTCACAGGAGTCACACCTGTCCTGACGCTGACGCTCTCTGAGAGACAGAGTTTCTGAGAAAATATTTTCGTCTCATTTCTTTTCTCTTTCACTTTTCTTTGTCCTCTCCCCCCTTCCTCCCTCCTCCCTCCTCCCCCTCCGGTCCCTCCCCTAATGTTCACACTGCTCATGTTCCATCAATCCTCCTTTTCCACCTCATGCCTTATCCACCCCTCCTTCATTTCCTCTTCTTGCCCCCCCCACCTCTCCCCATCATGGCTCCACATGCACGCGCACGACCCCTGCACCCGTTGACTCCCCCTCCCTCCCTGCCCATCACTTGACTCACTGCTTTTTTTTCCATTCCCTCTGTTGTCCATA